CCGCGCTCTCCCCCTCCTCCTGCTCCGGGCAGCAGCGGCCTCCCCCCGGGTGCGCGCGCATCCAGCCCCCTCCCCAGCCGGCGCTGCGCTTCTTCCGTAACCGAGCCCTTGGAATCCCGGAGACCCGCCCCGCCCGCAGCGCGGCGCGCGGGGGACGCGCGCAAGCATCATAGAGCGGGCGCGCGCAGAGCGTCCCTCCTGCCCGGGGCGTGGCCCCGGCCGCACCTCTTCGGTCCTCCAAGCACTCTGGGCCGCCATCTTGTCTCCGCCTCCTCGAGGACACGCCCCCAACCGTACCCGCTCCTCCCCGGCCGCGCCCTTCCGGTCCCCGCTTAGGCCCCAAGGGGCGAGCAGAGCAGCGAAGGATGATTGGGTTCTGAGTTTCATGGGGGTGGGGGGATGGAATGGCAGTGTCACTGTGGTTACTTGTTTCAAATAGGGTTCACTTCCCCCTTATGCGATTTTTATCTACATTTACTCCCAACTAGTGAACAAAGTATATCTCATTTTCTATTTCCTAATTCGGCTATTCATTTAGTTGGCTAATAGATGCCCGCTTTGATAACTCTATAAACAACCCTGGTCGCTTAGTGGGTTAAGCTATGAACTGCTAACTGCAAGGTCGCTATGAGTGGGACCAGACTGGATGGCAAAGGCCACCCAGCCCAGTCGAGATGTGGAAGAAATGCCTACTGATTCACTTCCCTAAGAAATCCTATACAGGGTCGCTATGGGTTGGAATCGACTCCACGGCACTGAACAACAACAATAACAAATCTTTAAGTAATGCACTTGGGTAGTACACAGTTTGCTCTCTGATACCCACCCAGCAGCAGCATGGATAAAAGTCCTGGGGTTTGGCTTCCATTTCTACACCAAGGTTAGGAGTCCGGGGATGCTGCAGCAGGCTGAAAGGTTGGTGGTTCAAGCCCACCCAGCAATATCTAAGAAGCTAGGCCTAAGTATTTATCTTGAAAACTCTGTTCTATACTGGACACATGGGGTCGACCTGAGTCAGAATTGTTAACTGCCGTTAAGTCGCTTCCGACTCATAGAGACCCTATATAGGGTTGCCGAGGAGCAGATGGTGAGCTTGAACCATCAACTTAGCGTTTCACAAACTGACCTTGCGCAGTCGCCACACCCCAAGGCAAATAACAATACCCTCACCAAGGTTGGCCTCGCTTCTCAGATTAAAGAAACGCATCACTGTCCTCCAAGGTCTGCCTTCCGAGCCCTAACGCTAGAGTAACACTCGGAATTGACTACTCCTTACAGAACTTTCAAAGAATGGAAGTATTTCCTCTAGTCATACTGTATTTACTTAGTCTAGATTTTGCTTAGAATGACCAGAATCTTTAAAACCATCTCTAAGTGCCAGATTTCTGAAGCCCTTTCTTAATTCATCTTCCTTTTCTAATACAAGAAAGAAAAAGCTTTATACTTGGTCAGCACTCATATTGAAAGACGTATTTTACTCATTGTCCTTAGCCTTTGAGACTCTGTCTGGGATTCACTTGAGTCACCTAACTCCTAATTCAAGTGTGATTTTTAAGGTAATGACAGACCGATGAAGGAAATTGAAGACACATTACGTATATGTTCTTTAACATTTACAGAAAGATGCTATAGAAATTCAAGATGATATATTATGAAATGCTTGGAAGACTAAAGAAAGTAAAGCACATTTTATTGGAATGATAACATTCTATCTTCGGTTTCTTTGTATACAGAACCTAAAAGTGGAGAACTTAGTTTAACGCATACAAATTTTGATTCATAGAAAATATATTCTGTTTGCCTTCCCAGTATGTGCAGCCAAACCCTAAATGATACATCTCTGACTCTGACCTCAAACAACAACAACAAACCAAATTCATTGCTTTTAAATGGATTGCTACTCAAGGCACTCTCATGTGTGCAGATTACAACTGCACTCCACAGGGTGTTTCACTGGTTGTGATCTTCCAGAAATAATCAGGCGTGTCTTCCAAGGTGCCGTTGAGTGTGTTTGAATATCCAACCTGTAGAGCATTTAACCATTGTGCCTTGCAGGGATTCTTAAACTTGGACTTCTCAATATCCTTGGTATGAGGTAGACTGGTAAAGCTTCCTTCATATGTAAGGACCAAACTGATTTTACTTGATTTTGCCTACCTAGAGACTGCTTGACTATAGTCAGGCTCAGGAAAGCATTTTAAATAGACAAGGCCTTAGTTTTTAGTTCCCTCCAGAGACAAGGTTAATCTCCATTCTGTACATTAGCCTGAACACGTACTCTAGCTCCAAGAAAATGATATATGTATAAATAGCCAGGCAGCTCAAGGTCAGAGGCCAGATGTTTTCCTTTACCCTAGCCTAAGAACAAAGACCACCAGTCCTGACCAATTAAACTGTAACATCTTATAGTTTGCCAATTGTTAACCAATCCAAAGATTGTAAAGCTGAGAAACCTGAGCTGTTTGAAAATTCTATAAAAACCCTGCAGACAATGAATTCAGGGCTCGTTCCCTATTCCGATGCATCGGATAAGGTTAGAGACCTGGCTCGAGCTTGATTAAACTTCCCTTATGTATTTGCATCGGTACACGGCTCCTGGGTGGTCTTTGGGGACCCTGAATTCTGGGCATAACACATAAAATCCATGTAGAAATGTATCCAGAGATAACCCGTGCGCTCGCTCCTCTCTTCCCCTTTCCACCATTTTTCTGTGCCTCCATCATGGTGCGCATGAACGTCTTGGCCATCGATCTTAAGAGCATCAATAATGCCGAGAAGAGAGGTAAACGCCGGATTCTCATCCGGCCATGTTCCAACGTCATTGTTCGGTTCCTGACCGTGATGATGAAGCATGGTTACATTGGTGAATTTGAAATCATTGATAATCACAGAACTGGAAAAATAGTTGTGAACCTCTCTGGCAGGTTAAACAAGGGTGGCATAATCAGCCCTCGGTTTGATGTGCAGCTGAAAGACCTAGAAAAGTGGCAGAATAATCTGCTCGCATCCTGTAAATTTGGTTTCATTGTACTGACAACCTCAGCTGGCATCATGGACCACGAGGAAGCAAGACGAAAACACACAGGAGGGAAAATCCTGGGATTCTTCTTCTGTATGTAATACATACAAATAAAATTCCTCAATGGAAAAGAAAAGAAAAGAAAAGTATGCAGAAAAGCCTTAGAAATTCAAGCCGAGTACTCTGGAAAGAGTTTATTACTGGAGTCTTGTATTTGTGAGTCAGCTCTGGAGTACTGATAGAAAAATTACAGAGCACCAGTAACTAAATCCTAAGGAACACCTATATTTAAGGCTCACATGTATGGATAAAAGTCGGAAAGTAAAAGAGTGGGCTCTGATGTTTTTGGTAATTATGGTTAAAGGATAAAGATGAGCACACACACAAAAAGTCTCAATAGAAAGGGAAGTGGTATCATTTTGTACATTTTTACCTTTCCAAGGCTGTATATCAAATGATTTAATGAATGTGGATGCATGCATAAAAGAATAAATCAATATGAATCAATTTGACTTCTACAACCAGAATCCATTTGCTAAATCCCAGTAGATATTGTTTAGTGTTCCCTCTCTTTAGAAAAATCTTATCTAGCATTTCAAACAGTGTTTTTAGCCACTGGTAATTTTTTTCTGCTGTGATACCATAGAGCAAATTACCGTCCTCCCCACCCGCCCCCCAAAATAACACTTACTTATTCTCCGAATAAAAGGAGAACACATCCAATTAAGGAAAGGAGACTGAATTCATGTGGGGACTAGATTGAAACTCTGTTGTTGTTGTTGTTGTTGTTGTTGTTGTTGTTGTTATTGTTAAGGGATATCTAATCAGTTCTGACTTATGGGGACCCTGTGTAAGGTTTCTGAGGAGCAGCTGATAGGTTTGAACTGCTAACTTTGTGGTTCACAGTCCAATGCTGATCCTACAGCACAACGCCCTAGAAGTACTGAAAATAGTATGTCTAAATAGTTAAGAGGCAGACTCCTGTTGTCTTCTACAACACTAGCCAAATTTAAAACATTCCCTATTGCTTAGGAAATGCATATTCCCAGAGAAGCCTCTCAACACTGTTGTCTCAAGCAATAAGGCTGTGAGCAAATCTCTCCATATTATCTAACATTGAAAAAAATCTTGGCTAGTTTTATCTGATAGAAATAGTGAAAGAGCTACCCAGCAAGAGAGGATTATCAGTATGTCTGAAATCCATCCCATTAAGCAAACAATAGAGATTTATAGTGTCTCTATAAGGAGCCCCTGTTGTGTAATAGATTAAGAGGTGGGCTACTAACCACAAGGTCAGCAGTTCAAATCTACCAGCCACTGCTCAGGAGAAGGATGAGGCTTTCGACTCCAGTAAAAATTTACAGCCTCAGAAACCCTACACAGGGTCACTATGAGTTGGAACCCACTCAGTGGCACACAGCCACCACTACCATTGGGTTTCTCTAAGTCAGAATCAACTCACCAGCAATGGGTTTTGAGATCCCCGTCTAGGAACGCTAGTTAAGCAATGAGGTGCTGCCTGCTAACCAAGCAGCTCAGCAGTCAGAACCCACCAGCTGCTCCATGTGAGAAAACTGTGGCAGTCTACTTCCATAAAGATTTACCGCCTGAAACATTTCTAATCTGTCCACTAGGGTCACTATGAGTCTGAGTCAATGGCAGCTGGTTTGGTGTTTGGCTCTCTGTCTCCTCGGTATATAAGCGGGCACGGAAACATCAACTGCCACCTTTGGAAGACTCTCCACTCTTTAAAATATATTTTCCTTGATTGTCTACGAGGTAAAGGTGGGTGAAGCCATCAAAGAAAAAATAGCATTCAAGAAAAAGAGACGTTAAAAAAAAAAAAAAGAAAAGAAAAAGAGACAATGTGAACTTATACTAAAGAAACCAGAACAAATTCAGGGTATGAAACTTCAAATAACTTTAGGGATATAAGGCCTGGTGTGGGGAGCTGCATTTTTTATTCACAAATCCATAATTGGACTCTTTGCATGGGGTAAAACAGTCAATAGAAAAAGAATTTAAAAATTGAAACTCCTCCTTAATCTTTCCCAATGAGCATATTTGCATCATTTTCCCTCTCTTAGAAAGTCCAAACAGTACAAGGGGGCTTCAAAAAATGGGAAAAATGGAATTAAAAGATAATGGAAGCCATCCACGAACTTTCTGTACACCGCCCCCATATGGTTAGAATTTATTTTGACATTAAACAAGAGTGGGGGCAGTGATAGTGTGCCATGGAGTCGGTTCCGACTCATAGCGACCCTGTACAGGGTTTCCGAGGCTGCAAATCTTTACAGGAACAGAAAGCCTCATCTTTCTCCCGCAGAGCAGCTGATGGTTTTGAACTGCTGGCCGTGAGATTAGCAGCCCGATTCGTAATCACTAAGCTATCAGGGCTCCTTAAGCAGGAGTAGGGCACAGTGAAAAAAGAAAATATTTTCCAGCTCTAATTAGCAGGTTTGATGATTCACCGAGTTGGCTCAACTACTCTTCATTTAATTCCCAACTCAAATGAAATGCTGCATGTCGGCAGGCCAAGGGACACTTTCATGTACCTGCAGTATAAATACTTTTTATATTATTATTACCTTCCACTTGGCATGACTACAAAGGAATCATGCACTACATAGCAGAAACTAAAAAGAGAAGAGTTAATTACATGAAAAGGCAAGAAAAAACAAGAAGAGGTCAGTTTTAAGTTAATGGAAATTATTTCAGAAGATGAGCTTGGCATTTTGAGTGTTTCTGCTGGGTGATATATTATTGCTGCTACTTAACTGCTGTTACTAAGTGCTGTCCAGTCGGTTCTGACTCAGAGCTAACTTGTATAGGGTTTCTGAGGAGTGATTGGTGGGTTTGGACTACTGACCTTGCAATTAGCAGTTCACTGCTTATTGTACAGCACCACACCAGAACTCCAAGTTGTTATATTGTTGTTGAGTGTTGTTGAATCCACTCTGGCTCATAGGGATCCTGTATAGGGTTTCTGAGAGTGGCTGGTGGGTCTGAACTGCTGACCTTGCGGTTAGCAGTCCAGTGCCACATCAGGACTCCACTTGTTACATTGCTGTCATTGTTAAGTGCTGTGGAGTCAGTTCCAATTCATAGTATAGTCAATTCTGAAGCTTTTTAAAATCTTCACAGTAGCAGAAAGCCTTATATTTTTTTCCCGCAGAGTGGCTGGTGGCCTCCAGCTATAGACCTTGAGGTTCGCAGTCCATAAGTAAATATTTGGGATTAAGAGATGGAGAGAGTACTAGTACGGTGCTGTACAATAAGCACTGGACTGTGAACCACAAGTCAGTGATTCAAAGCCACCAGCTGCTTCTTGTAAGCCCTATACAGGGTTGCTCTAAATTGGAACAGACTCAGTGGCACTTAGCAACAACAACAAAGGGATGAAGAGACGCTGATTTGGTGGTGGTGGCGGTGGTGGTGGTGGGTGCCAGCAAGTTGCTTCTCACTCACAGTGGCTCCATTGAACTGAGTGGAACTAACTGCCTCATAGTGTTTTCCAGGCTGTAATCTGTATAGAAGCAGATCGCCAGGTCTTTTTCCTGTGGATCCACTAAGTGAGTTGGAATTACCAAGATCAGTAGTTGCCCTACCAGGTCTTCTTCCTATTTAATTTAGTTCCTTAAGAGTAAAGTACACAGGACACCCATACTAAATTGAAAAAAACAAGATATCCTTGTCGGTTACCAGTGGGGATGGAGTGGGGAGGTTTGGGGGAGGTAGAGGGAGGCGACAGTAGAGCACAGAGTAGGAGCAGACACATCATAGTTTGGGTGTTGGGGAGGGCAGTACACAAGAAGATGGAGAGGATGGAAGACCAAAGTAGATAGGGGAATACTGGCACCGGTTTGCATGGGCTAAATGGGACGGAGGTAAATAGTGACGCTTGCTCAACCTTGGAACAACAGGGCTCTGTGATACAGGAATCTAGGCATAGTTTGAAGAGGGGAAATAATACTAAGATGCTTGACTGTCTTACGTATATTGGTTTCCCTTGCCTACTATTGTAAAATTGTAACTTGAGTTGGATAGAAAACAATGTCAGGAAACATGATTACAGAAAGCTTGTAAGCCCATGTTCAGCCAATAACTGACTGGAATACCTAAAATGGATTCTAGAACTTGCCCAGTGAAATAGGCCTCCTGCGGAGACTTTGCAGTGTATAGGACCTTAGGTGGAATCCTGAGCCCCATCCAGAACCTTTTGAGGTGGGACATTCCCACTAGAAAGGACAAGCAGACCAGCCTTGGAACAGCTAGAGCAACAGAAGATATATCTTCAAAGAAAGATCATCAGAAAAAACCCAAAGCAAAAATGGCAGTATGACTGGCTACTACAAGAATATGCAAGTTGTTCGCTGGGAAGCCATCAAGGCAAGCTATCAAATTCCTCCAGAATAAACCCCCCTAAAGACTGAAATTCAAAGGGAACACATGAACAGGCACGTAAGCTTGCTGGCGACCACATTGGTGTACTGGTGAGTGGAAGGGGGGGAAAGGCAGCAATGAAGAAATGGGCTGAGTTCAACCACATTCCACAGACTCTCATTGACCTGGAAATAAGAGAGAGAAGAGGAAGGGTTGGTCCAAAGTGTGGTGAGACTTGGGGACACCTGAGCCCATGGGCAAGGAAATAGCCACAGAGGGCTATAGCTGAGAGTGAAGCATCCCTCTGATATGAAGTGAGGGGAGATACACAAGAACACCCAAAGTTGCAGATAGTAATAGTACCCATTTGACCTAGCCTCGATAGCTTGATAATCAGAACTCGACTAGAGGAAGATTAAAAAAAAAAAAAAAAGAACAAAACAATTGATAAAATGAGGGCAAATTGCTACAATTTGATGAACTTGACCTATACTCATGGAGGTAGTAACTCTAAATACCAACAGAGAGGGAAGGAGTCTTCACATCAAGTATCAATGCTACCCCCTCTGTACACAGGGTATATAGGGACGGGCAACTTAGACACTGGCTACCTAAAATGAGGGGATGATAAAGGTACAAAGTGACTGACTTACAAGGTTTCAAGGGGGAGTTTAGTTTAATAGTGTGGAGGGAAAAGAGTCCCCACAGAATAGTT